CCGTGAAGGCAAATGATGTGTTGTGACATGTCCGAGCAGGATGCGCATGCTGGCCGGTCGTCACGGCAACTGGGGGTGGGGGGTGTTAACAGCTTGCAGACACGAGACTCATCATCTAGCTCAGGGCATCTCAAATTGGGTTTTGGGGTCCCCCGGAGATCGGTGTAGCTTGTGGGGGCCCGTGAAATTGATTTGGGGATGTTGACATTGGAAAATATGGATTAGGGAATTTGGGGAATGTAAAACGTCATTTTCAGAAAATTTTATGTGAAAGGAGTGGCGTAAATCCAAGTTCTAGAGTGACATAATCCATTCCTCGAAAAAACAAAAACAAAAAAAACAATAATGTGGAAAGTAACACTTACGACATCAGTCAAATGACCATTGAGCTGCTCCTTCTGTTATCCCAGCCTTGGCCACCAGGGGCCAGTATACGGCAGGCAGACGGATAAACTCTTCGTTGAGACATCTCAACTCCCCTCTCTCAGCTCATCAGTACGGCACTAATATTCGTCATTCCAGCAGATGAAGATGTGATGGAGGGATGGTTGGGGAGGGAATGCGGAATGGAGGGTGTTGCTGGCTTCTGACGCCTCGCAAAGTTGACTTTTCCTCCTGTTTTCTTTTTTTTTAGGGGCTGGTGGGTGTTGGATTAATGTCTCTTCTTCTTTCCTGGGCCTTCCTGCCCACGTGTCGCATACTGTATCCTCATGCTTCCCTGACATTTCCTCTCCTTTTACTCATTTCACCGCATTTGAAGATGATTTTTCCTCCTGTTTTCTTTTTTTTAGGTGGGGGTGGGTGCTGAATTAATGTCTCTTCCTCTTTCCTGGGCCTTCCTGCCCACGTGTCGCATACTGTATCCTCGTGCTTCCCTGACATTTCCTCTCCTTTTACTCATTTCACCGCATTTGTTTCCCTTTTGCTTGCGTTCCAAAAAAAAAACTTTTCCCAAGTAAAAGGTGTGAAATGTCGCGAGGTGAGAGACTCAACCTTTCGGCATTTACGCCGGTAATCAATCAGCCCGACAGCCACTCAGCCTTGTGGGTACCGGTCGGGCGTCCGTTGCGTTTTGACGGTGGAAGCGGTCGCTCGGGTCCATGACATTAATTTGCAATCGGAGCAAAATGAGCAATTAGGAAGACATCACGTACAGCCAAATCTGTTCTCGCTAGGCCTTGTTGCTTTCCGAAAACAACAAGTGCAAAAATATCTTTCCAACAAGTGTAAAAATATCTTTCTAAGAGTGCATTAGCTTGGCGCTCGGTCATCAGGGCTCTCTGAACACACCAGGATGTTATTATGCTAACGTGCAGTCATGTCACATGACCATGACTGAGTGAACAAAAGGTGTTGCTGGCACGAAACACAAGTGCATGCTGGGAGATGACATCGCCACAAAAAAAAAAAAAATCTGTATAATACGTGCGGGTGAATAGAACAAAAAGTACATGTCAAACTCAAAGCACAGAGCCAAGATTGTGACTGGCTGCATAATTTTTTTTGTGGGGCCCACTGAAGGAAATAAAGCACTACAGAGACTGGACGGATTTGTTGTTATTGTGCTCATGAGAATTCTTTGGTGAAAATAAGAACGTTTCCCAGTTGAAGTCAGGTGCGCGTCACGGAGCAGAGTTTTTCCAACACCCGTGACGTATTTTGCTGCAAGCCGGCGCCCGAGCGCCTGTCATCGAAACGCGATTAATGTTTGCTCTGTGCCAAACTCGTCTGTGTTCATAAATCAGAAGACGAAGGCAAAAGGCGCCCAAAAAAAAAAAAAAAAAAAAAAAAAGGACAGCATTCCGCCTGAAAAAGTTTCAAGGCCGACACGAGTGAAAGATGTCTCCTCAAGACGGATAACGTCGGTGGGGGAGTTTTGGGGGCGGCAAAAGCAAGCCGTGCGGAAGGCCATGTTTTTTTATTTTTATTTGTTTATTTTTTAACCGCCGGCATCCAGAACCTTTTTTTTTTTTTTTTTGTGTGTGAGCGATCGAGTTGGACATAGAAACGGTATAAGAGGCTTCGAAGGACATCTGTTCATGACCTCACAACCCTCAACAGCCGCCTCAGCGGCTGGCAACACTACCCTCGTCGCTTTAAAGGGACGGGATTTGCCTTTAAGGCCCCTTTATCTTTCAGGCAAAATGCTATCCAAATATCTGGAGATATATAAAAAGTCACTGATAAAAACTCACGGCTGTGGAACGTGAAAATGCACATTCTTTTGAAAGATTTGGCAGAGTTCAAGTGTTTTTGCGACAAATGTACTCAGAATTTGTTGCGTAAGAACCCGAGCTGCTTTGCTTTGTGTGGTACAACAAAGAAAAAGTTTCATCATCAAAAAGTGTCCTCTCGCTTCATGTGAGGTCGTTTGCAGCCTCAAGTCAGAGCTCTTTTCTCTTTTTTTTTTTTACTTGGCCCCCATCTTTTCGCTCCTTCAAATCAACATCAGTTATGAACACATGAAAGGCTTTATTCTACATTCACATTTTAACTCTTTTTTTGAAACTCACTTATATATTCTTTTTTTGCTTCAAAATCACCCGTTCTAGCGCCTCATTTCAAGATTCTTTTTCTGCTGAGTATACCCCGTGGGCTGCTTGTATATATAAGACACAAAAACAACAACAACAACAAAAAAAGATATTTTCAACATGTTCTGAGGGCACGAGCGCTAAGCAGCAAGCACCCAAAAATAAACGGATTAATTCTACCTTCTGGGTGGAAGTGCTCTCTTCCAAGTCTTTATTCTTATTCTTATTATTATGATTATGATTATTATTGCTGTTAAAGCATCCTCCTCCTCCTCCGCCATGATGCGATGAAGAGCGTGTTGCGCCTCTTCCTTCCAGGCTATTCTAAGACGTCGGCTGACACTTTTTGTTTCAAGGTGCCGGAATGTGCATGCGATTCATCAACCAGCCTTTGAAATGTCATCGGGTCTAGGGGAGGGGGTTTGGTTGCAAGGGTGGGAGGCGGGGGGGATGCTGTGACATGCGTGGCGAAGGCTTTATGAAGACGCACAAGTGATCCAGAGTTCATTAACCTTGGGCTGGCAAATGTTCTCACCGAGCGCCCAATGAGACGGAACGCACTAATGTTTGGCGCCTAAGTAGCCATTTTGTGGCCTGGCGCAGATGATGAGTCAAACTGCCGCAGTATAGCGGCATCTATTATCAGTGGCTTGATACTGGCAGCGTCCACAAGAATCCATATCTTCAAATGTCCGGGTATTTCTTTTTCAGTCGAGGGTACCCCTGCGTCATCAGCGCTGCCATAATCCTTCCTGGCCACTTGTTGGAGCTCTCCTCATCTCATCCACTTCCTGTTCGTTCCTACCTTGTTCCAAGGTCAGTTGAGGGCAGCACGTGGTTGGCAAATCTGCCTCACAGTTGAGTGGTCCCCTGGTTCGAACCTGAGCTGCAGCCTTCTTGCGCTCCTGTGGATTTTTTATCCCCCATAACCTGAACACGTTAGCATGTTAGCTTGCTTAAAGATGAATGACGATGACCACGATGATGATGATGATGATGAGTGTGAACGCTTGTCGGTCCGGAAGTGCCGTGCCATCGACCCGCTCAATGATGAGGACGAGCGAAAGGAAGAAAATCATCTGCTTGAATTTGTATTCAGTTTCTACGTGCTCGACGCGCCTCTCCCACTTGTTCAGATCCTCCCACAGCCGCGTTAAAATATGCACACCACTGTGCTTTTTCCTCACTTGAATGTGAGACGAAGACGAAGAATATGTGCAGTGTATTTTTAATGTTTGCTTTTAGGAGAGGTCTGCACTCAAGCAGTCCTCTCCCAAAAAAAAAAAAATCCATAGCAGGCACGCTAATGCCAAACACCGAGAAGGATATTTGTCATTTTTGTGATCAAGCAGTGCTTGATATAAACTCATTAAATGACTTTTTTTTTTTTAAGAGTAGCCAGTAGTAGTTTATTAGAGTAGCCACAACGTTTACAAATTGTGTGGTGTGATGTGGTGAGTAGCAGCCATGTTTTGTTTGTAATAAACAATTTAGAAGAGATTTGCGCCTGCCTCATCAATGCAATATTGAAAGAGTTTTCTCCCCCCTCGGATGAGGTGGAGATTATGCATGAAGGCGAAGATTGCCGTCGTGATGGCTTGGATTGCTTGGGTGGCTTCTGCTTCTTCGAGCGCGTCTCCTCCAGCAATAATTCACGGAGTAAACATTGGGCCCCGACAGCCATTTCTGGAGCGTTTCATCCTCGCTCATCCCAATCGCGGAGGGGGCGGAATACGTTTGCAGCTTTTTTTGGTGGAGCGAGCGCCACAGCTTTCATTATCGCCGCTGAATGCACCGTCTACCCCTTGAGCTGACTTGGCGCCGCCCCTTGTTGAAAATGGGGGTGGCGCCAACACAAAGGTGCTGATCCCGCCGCTTTGTTGCGCTGCCGGGAGTTTGATTTGCTTCGGCGGCGTTGGACGAATAAGGACGCATCTTGAGATGTGAGCTTTTGGAATAAAAAGTGGAAGATGAGGGCGACGGAGGAGGTCACGCTGACGATTTCATCTCTGAACATTCAAACATAATCAAACATAAACATTCCTCTTTTTTTCCCCTTTTAGGCTTCCAAAAATGGTGCGTCGGAATCAGTGGAAAGCCTTAAAGGGGAAGTCAACCCCCAAATTTTCTTTACATGAATAAGTTCTACGCAGCCCTACTAGTCTAAACACGGCATTCTGATTATTTTGCGTTTGTGGAATATAAGTTTAGCAGTAAAATCCACTCGTTTTTGTCCATCTCAGGGGGCGGCCATCTTGCCACGTGCTGTCGACTGAAAATGACATCACAGTTGCTCAAGGCTCAGCTTCAAAAAACAGATGAGCTGTGATTGGTTTGTTATCTGAGTCCTGAGCAACTGTGATGTCATTTACAGATGACATAAAAATGGCAAAATGGCCGCCGCCCTGAGATGGCAGGTGGATTTTGCTCAGCAACATTCCACAGACGCAATATTAATCAGAATGCCGTGTTTAGACTAGTCGAGGCACATATAACGGTAAAGAAATTTGGGGGGTTGACTTCCCCTTTAAAATCCCTTTCAAAGGAGACGTGGGCTAAGGTCGTCCGGCTGCGAATCTAAATGACGACAACCTCATTCTTGCCAGTGATGTTAGCAATGCATTACTAACAGGTTGCTCCAAATTGTGCACATTCTCTCATTATAAATTGAATAAGTTACTTTTTCCAGGTCAAGTTCAGTCATCAAACTACAGTCGGTCACCCTTCCTATCGGATGAAGGGCTTGGCATATTCAGGAAAACGTAATTTCATTGAAGCGTGGCATTTCGATGAAAGCATTCGAATTAAGTGATCGGCCACGCTCCTCATCAGGTGTCCAATCTGCTGAGACGTGTGCCCTATGAATGAAAACAAATTAATTACAGGGTGGCATAATAATGAAAACAAAAATTAACTGGGAGTGTGGCATATTAATGAAAGCATTTTGAATGAACTGAGTCGTGAGGGCAACTCTGTTGCATGTGTAAACTGATGAGGCGTTCGGTCTATTAATGAAAACAATTAGATTCATGAATAGGCCACGCTCCTCATTACGTGTACAATCAATAAATGAGAGTGGCTGAAAGTCAGGCAGGTATCTCACTTTCTCATGAATTGCGTGTAAATGTCCCACGAGACGTTCCATCTCTATCTCCATCTCGGCGTTAGCAAACAATCGAGTGGTGGGTTTAAAAATAAAGGCACCCGCGGCTCTTGAGAGGCGGCCTGCTGCTCACTCTTCCTCCTCCTCATTGTCCTCCTCCCATCGTTGGCCTGCTCTTCATCTTCAATGTTGTCTCCCAAGCGCACTGAAGGCTTCTTAACCTCAGCAACGCCGTGGCTGAGCAAAACAAAAGACGCAAACGTCCTCGTGAGCATAGCATGTCGCTGCCGTTGTTTACCCGCTGTGTAGCGGTGGCAGCTGCTCCAACGACAAATGGGCTCGCTATATTTCCACGCGATATTCGAACGCATCTCCAAAATGCATTAAGTGACAATGTGGCAGATGAAAGCCACCATCAAACAACAATACCATGCTTCCCTAAAATGAAACCCCGGGTCAGCAAGTACAATGAATATACAGCCGGGGCCCCAAAACAGAACCCTGCGGAACACCATAGGAGAGTGGGTCAAAGTGGGTCAGCTACCTACCATATCTCTGGCTAGACGATCTAACTGACGACAGCTTTCCTCAAACTACAAGCGTCTTTATAATGTCATCACCAACTAGTGGCCTGGCATGCACATTACAATGTTTGCGTCAAGTCCCCTTTTTGTCAACATGTCCCATTTTAGGTCACCAGGATGTTAGTTTGGAAGGCAAATGTAGCAGACTGCATCACGTTTGTAAGTTCACTGGCCAAGTTGAAGTTTTAGTGAGGACAGGTTGAGCCAAAGTTGACTTGAAAGCGCGATCGCAAGTTGCCCAAAAAAGCTCAACGTGTCACATTAGATTTTCGGGTGAACTTTCCCAGCGGACACATTTTTGATTTCATCTTTCCAGGTGAGAGATTTTGTCAGCGGGGCGTCGTCTGAAGGAATCGGCTTAGTTCGATGCGCTGGTGCTAATCTTCTCCGCGTTCATTAGTGCAATGTGCCAAATTAGCATTAGCACTTCAAATACCTACACAGCGGCATCAAAGCACAGCCGGCGACTTGTGCGAGCGGTGTGGCCAAAGCAGGTGGGAGCAATTAGACTGAAATATGGAAAAGATGTCAGAGGTGATGAAAGTCCGCTGTGCAATGAGACTTTGGAGGGAGAGATGGTCAGTAGGGATCCTTCAGAGTTAATGACATGTGATGGGAAAAAGGGAGGAAAAAAAAAATGACGGACGAATCTGCTCCTGGAGTCTCATCGGGTCACATGATGGACGGCGGGCTTAAGATGAAGAAAAGATGAACAGATTTCTTTTTTTCATGTTTGTAATTGGTGTCATTCAATGTCAAGTGTGGCGCTTGAACTGTCGAGATCTTCAACAAGAATCATCTGATCTTGAAATTTTTTTTGCAAACAAGTTTGGACAGCACATGTTCTCTTCTGTTTGCTGATGGCGGTTTTTCAAGCCCTCATCTTGAGTGATATTTCCTTCCAATCTGAGTTTTGCAGCTTTTGTTGTTGAAGAGTCAAGTCTTTCTTTCGGTTTTCTTTTTTGTTCATTTGACTTTTATTTTTTTTTTGTGCATGAGGAACTGTCGCCTTTGTGGCGGCAGCCGATGAAGAGGCGTCATCGACAGAGTGCTGCAGGCAGCGGTGCTAATGGAAGGCCCCGAGAGCGTGCGATGGCCAATACGAGGGCTCATTATCTTCACTTGCGTCTTGAAGTAAGAGATGAAAGCGGCGGCGTCGCCTAATGGTGTACTTACGCCCGTCCAGGCAGGCGACTTTTCAGTCGCATTTGCCCGGCTGGCCCATTTTGTGCTTAAATACGCTTTTGTCTCATCGCCACGGGGCTTTTTTTTCCTGTTTCCCCACCACGGTGATAATGGCGAGATGCGGGCGCTGGCTTTTTGAGCTGCCTCCCGGCTAACTACCGCAATCAAGACATCATGACACATATGGCAGCTAAAGACGCGCCTGGCCACACAAGGATAATAAAACCATTATCTGCCATCTTGCTTCATTAATGATGTGACGAGATACACGCAAGCATACAAAATCCTGATGATGAAGTCGATGATCAATATCGCCGCTGCCAAAATGTGTTCCGAGCCGCTCAGACTTGACATGCTAACAATCACATGCTAATGCTCAACACATTTTGATGTTCACATGAGGAATTGGCTACTCCGCGTAACAGTGAAAGGAAATACCTGTACTGTATTTCCTTAAGCTGGAACCCAGGGCTGGCAAATACATTGAAAACAACAGGGGCCCCAAAATTGAACCCTGTGGAACACCTGACAACAGTGGGGCAGAGTGGAACTCAGGGCAAGCTGATGATTTGAGGATTTGGACTGCTCCAGTGCTGATGAGCTTGTCATCTTTACTTTTGACTACAGCTTTCGCAAACATTTTTGCCTTTACAAATTGCGATAAATTCTAGGTACTCACAGTTGAAGGTCATCGTAAAACTGACACCCAAACAAAAGAGAATCAAATATTGTGTTCTGAAAACACCAAAACGTTTAATCAACCCATTTAATAACAAAAGTCCGCTAGCTTCATGCTTAATTCCCATGCAAAAGGCCATAGACAGGCTAACACAATATAAGCTTCTTCGTGTCCCCATGAATGTCCATAAGTCCAAAACCCAAAAGTCTGGTGCCTTTTTGAAAAAGAGATAAAAGTGCAGTTACTTTGTATCGGCCTTCATGATTGGAGTATTTTTTATTTATTTATTTATTTATTTTTTAGCATTACATTGTTCTCATTTGCTTCCAAATCAAGGCGCAAGCACTCAGCCTTTCAATAAAACAAGACCAGAGCGACAAAATGACTTGGATTGGGGTGTCTGAGGAAATTGCTCTGACTTACCGGAATGACTTTGTCACCCAATTTGGTCCCGCTGGAGCGAAGCCAGGGAACGCTGCATCCTTTTTGGACTTCACTTCCTTCTCCAGGGGAACAAAACGCGCTCCATCAATAAATGTATGCACGACAAGCCCATCCTTTTCGGACGCGCACAACGCACAAATGATGGCGTCACTCGTCAACAGCGAATCCACTTTGCAGGTATCGTGGCTGATTGTCAGGTCCTGCTCATGTCAAAAATGAACCTGCTCACCTCCCAAAGACTTGAGTCCAAAGTAAAGAACCAATGGCGTCGGAGGTCCACGACGATTTATTGTGGATGTGGAAAAAGCTGGGGAACCCGCTGGCATCTTGCAGCCCTGAAAGTATAGAAACATTTCCTTTCCATCTTGACAAACACTCGGCGGAGATGCTGAGCGACGCTCTCAAGGCTAACGACCTCGGCTCGTTACGACTGCGTCTCGTTAGGCATCGCCCACCTTTCTTGAAGGCCCTCCGTCTTCTCAAAAGAGAGCCACTCCAGGTGAAATGAGCTCTCTTGAGATGATTTTCAAACTTTTAGTGCCTCGCGGACGTACCTTCCCTCTCATTCGGAACGTGTGGGCTGGTATGCTAACTGAGCTGATATGCTAACTGAGCTATTCCCGTTTAATGTGATTTTAAATGGACAATTAATCTTTCAAGTTTGTAAACAAATTATAGCATCATCAAGTCTTTTGAAAACGTGTCTGTGAGTGCGCCCTTCTCAATTGTGCCAAATTGTGACATCACTGCTGGCCTAATTAACATATCATAATAAATATACCCGACGCAAGGATTCTCAGCCAGCGGCACGATCAAGTCATCAGCTAGGATGAACAACGTTCCAGAACAAAAGAAACGCAAGACGCGGTCAAAAGCTAAAAGGTCAAAGGTCAAATATACGCTTTGCAAGAGTATAATCACAACATTGATGCTCGTTCCGTTAGCCCATTTATGGCATTTTAGCATTTTGTGTTAGAACAGCACAACAACAAGAACAGCAGCCCGTGGGCTCCTGCGGGCCTGATTAGGAGACATGTCATCTTAAAATACTGTCGTCGCCAACACCGCTGTTCCTTGGGAGCCGGTTTTAGGTCCACTAAAAAAAGCCCTCGCCGGTAAAAAAAAAAAAACTTGATGGAGTGCGGCGGCGAGTGCGTTTGCAAGGCTAATAAATTGTGGAGTGTGAGGTGATGTCTGGCTGTATTTACACTGCACTCTTCTTGACAGCACCATGAATATGCTCTTTTCCTGCATGGGGACAATTAAAGAAGGTTCCGGAGAGAGGCTTTCACTGCGCTATTGATTTCATCCTTTTGACCGCACGGTGAGGAAAAATAAATAAATGGATGGATAGATTCAGTGTGATGAGACGCTGGGGTGATATCTTAACTTTGTGTTCAAGTGTGTGGGAAGGACAGTCAAAAAAGAAATGTTAGCAAACAGCGTTTTCTCTCATGCGTGTACATGAAACAAAACTGATAAATGACAAATAATAGATAAAGACGCGCAGCAAGCGCCTGTACATGATTGAACATATAAGAAAGGAGGACTAGAGTGTTTACAGCCTGAGGTGAAGCATTCTGGGACTTTACCATTTGCATTCCCATCTGTCGGAGTGACGTCACGTGCGCGCCATGTCACAAAAAAAAAAAAAAAAACAACAATCGATCTCCATTTTCAAGCATCAAGCTTTCAAGCGGCATTTTTAAACTACATTCTGTGCTGTTCAGTGTTATTTAGCTTCAAAAACAGTACCGGTATGTCAAAAAAGAGGGAAAAAAATGAATCCTATGTGACTGTAGTTCAAAAGTTAAAACCGTTCATGATTTCAAGCTCCTTCTGGTGTGTTCGCATTGGCCACAAGGGAGCAGTCTAACGCACGCACAAATATGACGGCAACAACTGCTCGATAAGCTGCAGTAACATGAGTTGTGTATTGTGAGGTATCAAAACAGCCACTGAAGTATCGAGGTTGATTACTCTCACCCTGGCTGGTTGATGTGCGAAGCAGGAAGTGAAATGCAACGTGGCGACCAGAGAGGCTCTCATCCCCTCGGTCACGGCTGAGCTGATTACGCCCCCCCCCTTCCCCCCGTTAAAAGTCAGCGAGGGCCTGCTCACCAAAGAATTAATCCTGTGTTTCCAGCTCAAGAGGCCAAACAAACGCCCACAAGTGACAACAATGAGTGTTGTTATCAAGCAGACGAGACAGCAAGTCAGCCTCTCCGACGGGGGACATAAAGCAGGCTCAAAAGGAACGCTGACAATTATTTCACTCGCTCACCGCGCACTTCAGAGAGGCCGCGCGCGGGCGCGTATTTGTGCGCGCGGTTGAGCGCGAGCCAGTTGCAAAGACGGCAAATGGAGTTGAACACTTTCGATTCCCCTCCGACCGCAGCCTTGATTGTGTTTTATCTCTTCAAAAGACTCTCAACGATGATCACTACAATTGTTACCGCTAGCTCGCAAGTGAACATCGCGGCAGCGGTGGAAATTTGTTTTCACTGTTGTTTGCTTGATGGTTAGCTTAGATTGTTCGTTGGTTGGTAGGTTGATGAGGTGTTTCCAAACTTTTGACTGGTACACTAAAAGCTTTCATGCCACACATTTTGCGGCGGGACGAAAGCAACTCCTTGGGCAGTGAAGTGGGCGCGAGGGTGGAAGAAAAACAAGAAGCAGAAGAGGAAGGGAGGAGCAGGTGAGGATGCCAAACCGAGCTTTCATGTCCCTCCAATGGCAAGCGAGGCGAAGAAAGGCTTTAGCTGGAGAAATGCGCCGCCTGCGCTCCTTCTTCATTCCCTGTTGGGATTTGTTGACACAAACGCGAGAGACATTTGGACTGGGATAATCTCGGGCGCAGACCTCCGAGCGCTCAGCTGCGCCAGAGAGCCCCGTCGTCTTCCCCCCCTGCCAAGCTTCTGAGATTCGGCGAGCAAGTCAGCAAAGTCCACTCGGAGGCACTCCCAGTGCCAAAATACGCTGAGCCTCCGAGTTGGAAGACCAGAGTGAGGGTAGACTGGAGACCCCCCCCCCAACGCAAAACAGCGCGGACACCAAATAACAGAAGTCGGAGCCCTACGGTGCCACCTGTTGGTCACAAATGGAACCATGACATCGCTACCCCAAAAATAGAGATAAAAGTGAAAAAAAAAAAAAAGTTGTAATGTTGTAAAAATACAGCGACGCCTGCAAATTCACAGCACGCCCGCCCGCGAGCTGCCATTTTAAGAGATATCGTCACGTCGTAAACGGATTGAGTCGGCTTTCTTCCGCCAGGCTGACGTTTGGCAGGCGTGACGCACTGACAGCAGCAGCAGATCAACTACTTCTCCGCTTGTCCGAGATTTTTTTTTTTTTTTTTGGTGGTCATTTCCCGGTCGTTGTCTGCTTCTTGTACATGCGAGACTTACGCAGACTCAGTCTTGGATTTTCTTTGTCAGGGGGTACCACAACATGAACAGCTGCATTTTATTCTTGCGAACGGAGCATGAGCATTCGATGTTTGAAAAAGAAAAGATTTCCATTTCCAAAGCACTACAAGTTGCGTGGCTCGATTTTTATTCCATTTAAAAGACAGTGGCACAACCCGAATGGAGTTAGTCGCTTTTTAAAGCACTAGAAAAAAACATATGCAAATGGAGTGCGATCCATTTGAAAGGCGCACATGAAAAGGTGTCCAATTTAAAGGCACTTTGACACGCATATTGATTATACGTATTTTCAAGAAACGAAAAACATATGCCGGATGTCTTCTCCACTCCATCTTAAAACTTTCATGCACCAATCATGATAACCTGTAACCCGATAACATGATAATCTAGCTGCCCACTGTCGTAACCGTTGTCCCCGAAAAGGGTTCAGAACCATCGCACCATAACACGCACGGCTGGATTGATTTTGAATTGAAATGCACCACAACATACGCGGATGGACTTTATTTGCATTTCAAAAGCACTCCAACCTGTGCAAATGGACTTCTGTTCCATTTTTCAAACACACAACAACATGTGCTAATGGATTTGATGCTACTTTAAAAAAAAAAGCACTCGAAGCCGACTCTTCTTCTTATTGTCCGATAAACAATCTCCTGGGTCCGCTTGCCGTCAAAAGTCTGTCTTCTTTCATGCGTTTGTTCCCGGGGAAGACCAGGCGGGTTACGAAGATGCCGAAATCCAGGTGGGCAGGTGTTCCAAACACGCGACGACTTGAATACGAGCTTGTGAAAAGTCACTTTTACCTCACGAACTACTAACAAAAAGTCGTTATCTTTCCGGTGAGATTACAGGAGAAATTAAAAATGTACAATTCTATGCTGAACAGCTGAACTTTATGTGACCTCCGACCTTTTAACCGTTCAGTGTTTCCAGTACGTTTGACAACATGGAGATGAATAGCAAAGTTCACAACATGAATCCCAAGACGGCTCCTAGCAAGCGATCTCAATAGGAAGGTTTCACTCAGCTTAGAATGTCCTCGGCAGGTTGCACCAGAGGGACTGGAAGAGTCACAGAAAGGCATGTGCCGCAGAGGTCTTCATTGCTTGTCGTTTGCATGTGAACGAGACTCGAGAATGAGAATCGACTTTTGATACGCTCAACTAAAGAGTTCAGCATTTGTTGAGGAAAATGTGCATTTTTTTTTCCACAGACGTGCAAAACGGGAGTCATGTGACGCCGACACGTGTCATTTTTGTTTCTTTCCACAGGTGAGCGACTTCCTGCTTCTCGGAAGACGGAGGCAGATTGCTTTTTTTTTTTCTCCTCCAGATTGTAATCTTGACGTGTGGCCTGATAAATCACGAGAAGGTTCTCCTCCGATAGCCGCAGCAATTTAAAGGGGACACTCTATGAAAATGTCACTTTTTAAAGGCGGGAAATAAATTGTTGTTGTTTCGTGGAAGTACGACTGTGACATTCTCTGACTTGTGGGTTTTTTTTTTTTTTTTTAGCTGAATGCTCTTATTACTTTTGGTGTCTGTCTCCCATGGCTCTCCATTCATCTCCTTTTATTTCAGGAGTTTCATTTCAGGGCCCGGCAATCAGAAAAAGGAAATGATGAAAAGTGTTTTTAACCCTTTTTTGCACAAATAATGATAACCTGTAACCTGATAACCTGATAAGCTGTCCACTGTCGTAACCGCTGTCCCAGAAAGGGTTCATGCAAAGTGGTTGGGAATCACTGTTCTAATGAACGACGCTTACCTGATTGCCGTGAAGTTGTTGGTTGGGTGCTCGTGGTCTTGGCTGCTCGCTTTGCTTTTCTCTCCGGCTGGGCTTTGTTTTTTGCAAGTACAAATGAACAAATGAGAGGAATTAGCGAGCACTTTGGTCGTCAA